GTTGATACGTAGTAATTCGTATTTGTGTAATTTCTATTCAACGCGATTTGATAGGAACTGCATTTATTAACTGTTAATTTTTGTTGTATTTTTTGTTTGTTATCTTTGTAGTCTGTGCTCAAGCCGCGTCGTAATTTTGCATTTAATAGTGATGACATCGCCCAAGCTACTGATCCGTTGTTTGCGGACTGAGCTACGCTGGGCCACAAGCGCCCATGATTTGATAGGTCGACCGGATAGGGTCCATAACTTGATGAAGTGGTTCGAGCAGGTGGATGCTCGAAGGGCCGCAGTGGAGGAGGCTTACGCTGAGCTCGAGGATTCGGATGTGGAGAAGGGAGTCCTGGACTCCTGCTTCGCGGACTATGAGCAGTTCTTGTGGCTCACGGACGAGTTGATCGAGGCTGAAGGCAGGTATGCCGAGGAAGCGCGTGAAGCTCGGATGAGTGACCTGTCCGAGTCCTCTCTGAAGCAGCTTCAGCCAGAGCTGTTGGGACGACTCCCAACTCTGGACCTGCCAAAGTTCTCCGGGGTCCATTCCGAATGGCTGACCTTCGTTGGTCTTTTCGACAGCCTAGTGGACGCCCGGAGTGACCTGACCCCGAGCCAAAAGATGGCGTACCTCCTGGCCTCACTGGAGGGGGAGGCCGTGGGCGTCGTCGGCCACTTGAGATTGTCGGACGACGCCTACCAGACTGCTCGGAACCTCCTAGCCAGAAGATACGCCAACGTCCGGCGAATTGCGGACGAACAGGTTAAGCAGCTTCTAAGCCTCCCGCTGCTTAGTGACCGGGCCAGACTACGTCGGGACCTGTTGGATCCAGTCTTGGTGGCCTGTAATGCGTTGAGGCGGCTGGGTTTACCAGTGGGCGAATGGGCTTTTTTGTTGCTCCGCATCGTGCTGTCCCGTCTACCTCTCGACCTTCGAATCCATTTTGAGGAGAGGTACGGCGGGGACGAGGCCTCCTATATTCCGCCCTTCTATGACCTGCTGCGGTTTTTGGAGGAGCAGTGCCGGCAGATCGAGAACGCGGCGGGCACCGTTGACGACTTACGAGACGTGCCCAGTGAGAGGCTGAACCCGCCAGGCAAGTCGTCGTCAACCCCACCCTGCTCCTATTGTCGAGCATCTGATCACCGGGTAACGTCGTGCCCGAAATTATTAGGTAAGCCGGTTTCGGCGAGGCGAACTATCGCCAAGGAGCGCCGCTGGTGCTGTTCATGTCTGGGAGGACACCTCCAGCGAGACTGTCCGCATCGGCGGCCCTGTCTGCATTGCCAGGGCAATCATCATGCCGTTTTGTGCCTGAGTGCGAACGGCGTCTCCTCTCGGGGCTCTGCCAGGCCCTCGACCCCCACGGGCGGGGCGCTCAGCCACGCCCTCTGCCGGGCGACTCTTGGCGCCTGCCGGCCAGCCATCAGGCCCCTAAGTTTGAAAGGGGTCCCTCCCCCGACCAGTTGGCGGGTAATTCCCCCAGGAGCGGGGGTGTCATCACCCCCCCTAAGCGTGTGGAGAGGAACTTCACGGCCACTCATCGGTCCGCTGGACCCTTCTCACTCCCGTTAGCTGAGTGGCCGCGACTGGTGTACCACTGTTCCCCATTTGATGGAGGCGGCCCTGGCTAGCTGCCGCCTTAGCTCCCACCACGGCCACCTCCACTGAGCCTTAAGCCTTCAACAGTCCACTTGTCAAAATGTTCTGTTGCCGACGGCCTCAGTGAAGGCGTACAACCCGAGTGGCGACTGTTAGCGATCTCGGGTTCACGCCATGTGGCCTCCCCTTGGTGGTGGGAAGATTAGGGCCCCTCTGGAGCGTTGAATCACGCTGTCAAGGGGTATTAGATTTGGTTTGGTCGAGCACTTAGTCAAAAAATACTTGAATTAAAATTAAAAATTGCTTTGGGCTTTCCGCGAAATTTTCCTATTTGTAGCGGTTTAAATTAAAAGAATTGAATTTAATCTACTCTTTTAAATGCTACTGCATGTGTTTTGTACATATATTTAATCACTGTATTTGATTGTTGCGTCTGTTTGCTGAAAGGAAAATTTGAATTCATTTGAAATTGAATGGCGCACTATTTGAAAAATTATGTTTATGTTTATGATAGTGTTTAATCATTTTGCTTTGCGAAGAAGTAGGGCTGTCCCTTACGTTATTGTTTTGTTTAATTTGCAAGTTGACCTATGCGCATCGGTGATTAATTTGGTTGAATTAATTCTGTAGTTGAACATTGATGCTTTTGAAAAATTAATTGAAATATGAGCATAGGACTACTTGTCTAACAGGCTAGCTAGTTTTGGAGATTATCAGATTGAAATCAGCTGCCGCACTATTTTAGTAAATGATAATATGGTGGGTGGCCTGGCTAGGCCTACTTGTTGAAAATTCATACTAGGGACTATCTGTGCGTTTCGTTCGGCTCTCCACAGACGACGTTCATGTGGAATTTGTGGGTGCTCTCTGCACTGAAGCTTAGGAGGCCGCTCGGGGCCGCTTCGTGTCGCGTCGCTGTTTGCAGACCTGATCCGGTCGGATTGCGGAACTAATCGTAGGGGCACAGATAGGTTTTGAAAGAGGTCGTCGGACTTCTGTCCAGTACAGGACTTGTTAAAGTGCTGCGATGCCCAGGAGGGGCATCCAGTGGAGGCTGACCCTCCGACTTGCCACATTAGGGCTATTTTTTGAGGCGCTGGTTAGGGTTGCAAGATCTGATGGGGTGCCTAAGGTGGCCTAGTTTGGTTGTAGATTCGGTCTTGCAACTTGCCTTCGCGACCTTGTCCCGCTGACCGGTTTGCTCGCGGACCTAAATCCTTATGTCCGGGACGGGGGTTTGTTCGCGCCAAACACTTTCAAGGAACGAACGCGAGAGGGCGTGCGGCTCAGTGTCATACCGGTTTGACATTCGGTCGTGCGTAAAACGCCCAAGGGCAGTCGTCCTTAAGCGGTGCTAACGATTGGCACGCTGTATTCTGTTAGGGAACTCGGAATAATTCGGCGCGGCCAGTAAATATACGGTCTATCATTGTGACGCGCATTCCTGCTGGAGAGCTTCCCAGGGACTCATTGTGTTTGACTCAGAATCGGCATAAGTGCATTAGGCAATATTAGCTAGTGCGGCCTCTAATATTCTAGAATTAACTGTTGCGACGCGAAACGGTAGTGACCTTTAATAAACTGTAAACTCCGTGTGCGTTTTGTGTGTTAACCTTATAACCAGCGATAGTTAGTGGCTTCTGTAAGTTAGTAAATCGTACGATAGAGTTAATTGACTGTCAACGTGACGAAAGAAGAAAGTGACTGTGGATAACCTCAAAAGGCCCCCTCAAGTTGGAGCGGTGTCGACGCTCGGGCTGCTGCCGACGGCCAAGGTCTAGGTTCAATCACCATCAGTCACACGCAGATACACACCACATCACTTATTTCCCTTTCACTACACAACCACATGTGACCTGACCGACTCCGGAGGGACCAGTCGCCTTGGATATAGGTAAGTAAGCTTCGCCTAATTCCTCTGCCGGTTGACTGGCCGTAGTATAGAACGCTCCCCCGTATATTTAGTGTAATTAGAGAGATTCCACGTGGCCACATTGAGGCTCGACCTACGTCTGCTCGGGAAGTCTTCAGCTCATGGGCCCCTGATGATTTGATCCTCTAAGGGAGCAGCCGTAGGCCGTAACATCTATTATACTCTTTTTAGTAATAAATTATATTACACACCGATGAAAATGTATTCCTTGGTATTTGTTAATATTTTTTGAATTATTTGTGAAATATCTAATTCTTTTTATATAATCAACAAAGCTCGTGTCGACTCACTAGCGCCTAGCGAGTGATTAAGTAAAATGCGGCGACATCGCCGCCATTGAATAGTACCGTGTAACTAAATGCAGTGTCGCCTCTAGTACGTAGTACATAATAGCTCAATGACTACATCATCCAAAAACAGGTGTCCGCGCAGTTATTAGAGAAAGTAATACTATATAAATTGAACGAGAGGGTCATTTGATTAAAATTGAAATAAAATCCTAAAAAGATATTGCTGAATAAAATGAAGTTATTTAGAATTTGACAAATTTCTTGTAGAGAGGCTGTCGAGCTAACATTTCATCTGATGGTAAGTATCTACTGCGGCCAATCGACACCAGAAATCAATTTCTGACAAAAACTACCACGGTTGAGTCACCGAGTCGCATAAGATAAATTACTTCTAATCGTGTAGTATCTAATCCTTCAAATCGAAACTCGATAAAAACTCAATTCGTCACTCGTGGCTCGCTCGATTCAACGACCATGTTTTTCAAAAAGTGTATAGTGCACAATTTGTGTACAATAACTATTGTCATTTGGTTTAGACACACAATACGTATAGATTAGTACAGAAGTTCCCAGTTATGTTAAGCTAGTAAGCTGTTACAAAAAAAAAATCTCCTTCCCCATTCCGCATTTCACCTAATTTTGAGTATTGGTTTTTTTTATGAGTTAAGTGACGAAACGAGCAGTTGGCCTGTCAGTTATTAAGTGCTATTCCCTACCAATAACAACAGCAATACAACTTCGGTCTTCTAGTCGAGTAAGGGAAGACCTAAGTCGCATCTTAGTGAACCCATCATCATGGCGAGGTGGAACATTGCGGGAGCGCGGCAGCAGGAAGTGGAAGTTACCTACGGTCAATGACGCGTGTCGAACAGGGACGAAAGGTTTACAGACTAACATTACCTTTGTAAACTTATTTGACTTCAAATAAATAGGTTAAAGGAAGAAAGGAGAAAAAGGATTAATATAAGGGCGAGAAAAAAAGTAGAGATAAGTCTGCGATGCTGGCTGGCCTTTACATGGTCATAATTGCGCTTTGCTATTCATTAAGAACATCCAAAATTATTTATTTAGTATCACATAGTTGTTACAAAAGTCAAAGATTGGTGAACCCTTTTTAGCAATATAAATTACCTGTATTACGATATTTTACGGTCTTGTACCTTTTGAAATAAAACTACAAAAAGCAAATTAATAAATTTATTTAGGTATACAATTCGATAATATGCGTGCAGTTCTAGCAAACAATCATTACTAGAAATATAATAAGTTATATTTATAAATTAATCTTTGGACGATGTTTCTCGAACTGGTAAGGGCTGTTTTCAAATAGGTAGGTAGGTACTGGTAACGAATGCAAATTAGTATGTTCTATTATAAATAATATAAAAATTTCACTTTCAACACTTAAAAACATCATTTGGTTCATCGGTTTAAAATAAATTATTTAAAAATAACAAGTATTAAACTTCAGTCGATAAACGATTATTATGTGTTATTTTTCAAGCAACCGTTTTTCAGGCAATATAGCTACCAAGAAATTATATTACTTATAATCAACTTTTAAATTATAGAAATGTGCAAAAAATGATTAACTTATGCAAACTCTGAAAGCTGAAAATTATCTAGAATGTAGCTTTTTAGTGTTTAATACTTAGAAACTTATAAATAATAATTCCACTAATCATAACATTAGATTTCAAATATTTACTGCTTTGATTCTTAACAGCTTAAATATGACAACATGAAATATTTAATTTCTTTAATATTTAATTAATTTAACTGATAAACAAATGCACTTCAGTTTGCATTTTCACGTTTATAAATTTTATAAATAATGGCAGCAATTTATCAATTTGACACGTTAATTAATTTAAGCACCATTTTTAAAATCACATGTATTTTTAACAATTATTTTTACAATAAAATGTAAATTGTTTTAGGGACTTCAAAGTAATAGTAAGAGTAATGAGTAAGAAACAAAATTAAAGAAACAAAATAAAATAGAATATTTGAATAAATTAATAGATAGTGTTTGCAAAAATATTATTATATTAAAGTCTTACACAAATTAATGATTATATATAACATAAATAAATGCTGTTAGCATTGCATTGAATATTTGTAGCTAGCTGGAAGCAGCATAGGAGTATTTTAGTTAAATATTGATCCTTTAATTAATAGGACTGTAGGAACATACAACTTCAATGGTAGCCCCCTCGGCTCAATCTAAGGCAATTATTCCGACATTACGGACAGACACTGCACTTTTTTCACTTTTTTCTTACTTAGTATTGTCAAAAAAACCTGTTTTTGTGAATGCAGTCGTTAACTATAATTATAGCGTCGCTTAGTAAGCTATTTTGGTGATTTGATAAATAAATAAATAAAACAACTTATTACAAAGGCTAAACGCCAGTCAGTTAATTTCGTAAAACTACTATGTAAATAAATTAGAGTAGTCAGATCCTAGTTAAAATTTGTTGGAAATTGTAATAAAGTTAAAACAGAAGATGAAAAAAAAATTAAATATCGACTAGCTATTGCTTTTAGGTATTAAAATTTATTTACCTTTATAATATTATTCAATGAAGCTATAAAAGCTATTATTTCCATAATATCACATTAATAATAATAATTTTAAAATTGAGATTTTTGTTAAAGGATGTAAAAAGTATTTTGAATTAGGAAAATAGTTAACATTTCTAAGAGCAACCATAGTGCTTCACCCATTATGTTTGGGTGTTGACGTAGCAATAAGTTTTTGTGCATTTCTCTGTAGCATACGTAATTACCACAAGCGCTTGTACAATAGAGAGAATAACTTGTTCTAGCATGCATTTGTAGAACGAATTAGCGAGTACAACATACACGTAGCAGCGTTACGCATATATTTAAGAGTGGCGGTTGGTTCCCTATGTTAGTTGCCCATGCAAGACGATCATAGGTAAGCACCGAGCCTGCAAAGAAAATATATTTCAAATATAAATAATTTGTTTATATCGCTGAAGATTTTAATATCGCCGAGGATATTTTATTTTATGTATATATATATATATGTCGCAGGTTTATGGTAAAATCCTTTTTAAATCTAAGCATGTGAATAGTGACTGAACGTCAAAGTGACCATAGTTTCATAACGGCTAACTGACATCGGGACGTCAAACACATCAGACATCGTGAACATGGGTGCTGTAAAGCACCCGAAACGTTGGGAATTAAAAAGTTTAATGAAACGCGATATAACCTAAACTTGTTTAGGTTTATGATAAAATGCAAGCTTAGGTTAGGTTATCTAATGGTTTTATTTATTTAAAGAAATGCAACCGACATTGATTTTATTATAAAACTAAATCAGTCTAGGCTTTTGATCGAAAACCAGGTTTTGTCATAAACCTGCGACATATAGAAAGAAATTAAATAATCACGTATTACAAACATTAAGCATGCAGACATAGCTGACGTTATTGATAACCTTTCAAAGTTGATCTTTAACTATATTATTATGCTGTGGACGTGGTAAGTGGTAACTATCCATTTCAAATAAGTTGAATAATCGCAATTGCTGAGTATCTTTAAAACCAGCAAAGACATGATCTAAGACAGTGATTCGGATTTCTCTTAAGAATTGTGGAATTCTTATGATCAATCTTATATTGCAAATTCTTCTTATAAAGTAAATTGTCAATTGAACCTTAAAATGAGGAATAAACCAAAGACCATATTTTAAATCACACCTCAACAATTAACACTTGTAATGTTTTCAGTGCCGTGCCTTTGTAGAGTCAGGGTAGCGTAGCTCAGGGGCTTAGCCCTCGCCGTAAATATTACAGTAAGCAAGCAACCCGGGTTCGATCCCCGCCGGCACGAATGAAATTGTTAATTGTAATTTTAAGTACTGATTTACCACGTGCTCGGTGGTGGAGGAAAACTTCTAGAATAAACCTGCATGTCTGAAAAATTAAAATTAAACTATTCCACAGACGTGTGAAGTCCACTAACACGCATTAGAGCAGCGCGGTGATCACTTTTTTGCCCTAAAACTCTTTTAAGAATGTGCCCAGGAGTGAGAGGTATGTCTGATATCCTGCGGAAGACTGTTTAGCAATAGCTAGTATTAGGTACTAAGCGTATACAAAGCTAAAATATCAGCAGGCTTATTGGCTAACCTCGGCTCATCAAACACACGGCAATGTACTATACAATAACATTCTGATGGATACTATCATCTGCTGCCGGATCCAATTATTAATAAAATTAACTCGCAGCCAATTTCTCTATTGAAATTAGGATTTTTTTTAAACTGAAAGTAGCCGTGGTTAACTATTACATTGGCACATTTAATACCTCAACACCCCCGGGACTATGGGTGCTGTAAAGTACTTGAAATGTCGGGAATATAAAATAAGTTAATATATGCAATAAAATTCGTAAAAACTAGTTTTATGTAAAGGCCTGTTGATGTTAAGCGGCTTTATATACATGTAGCCAACATAAAATAAAGAACTAAATGAGCATTTTCATGATTGTCTCTAAAGGCTGTTATTACCACTACCACGATATTATACAATTTAACTTCTGATAGAGCGGTTACTCACACAAAAACAGCGCATTTAATAAATAGTACCTACATGGATGACTAAGCTTCATCGGCGTTAGAAAAATATTTTTTTTTCAGGGATTTCATCTATCTAGACAAATTTGCAAAGCACAACATTATTTGAATATACAGCGTCGTCCAAACAACCGATTTTTTTAATCAAATTGGAGTGAAATGCGAAGTTAAATTTCATCTGATGGTAAAATTACTTTTGCGGTCCGTGGGCACCTGTCAATAACGTTAAACGAAGAAGGATACAGATACGTTGTCACGCTGATAGGTTTTGCTGCTTGGAAATAGAGACGAGAGTAGTACTTTCCGAAACGGGGTAATAGGCAGAAAAGAGTCACACTAACACCTAATAGAAAACAATTACATATCTATATAAAAACAAGAATTATAGCTCACTCAAAGTATTAAGATATGGCTAAGTATGCCATAGACTTTCCAGTTTAAATAGCTTATTTATTGATTAAACTCTTGGGCTGCGGAGAAATATTATTGTAACAGTAAATACAAGACAAATAACTCTACGTCATCTAGTAGGCGACTTAAATATTTTGTCAGTTTGAGAAAGAAATATACAACGCAAGGCCAATAATTTGTGACTGACATATGTACATGTCACATTATAATGACAAACATATTCATTCCAGTAACTCATTCAAACATAATCATTTCTCAGTGCGGCGGATGGTACGTGGTAGTTGTTGCACGAATGGGTCGACCAGGGAAGGACCACGCTCTCACAGAATACCAGCGTAAAATGGCAGCTTAATACTGCAGCTGTGTTTCGTATGGTGAGTGTAGAGAACCAGAGATCCTTTTTACTGGAAAAGAGGCATTCCATCTTAGTCCTCACGGGTGACATCACATATGCGTTTTGATTCGCAAACGAGGATAGATGTACATGTCTATGGGCCACAGCAACCACTTACCATCAGGTGGACTGTGCGCTCGTTTGTCACCCTATCCTATAATTTTTTTTTGAAATGAACACTTCATTAGAAACGTTGCAATTTGAAAAAGAGACAAACATATACATCTATAGGATTTGGCCTGCGAAAGAATAAGACAGAATACAGAATACAGTGTATATTATATATTTATTTATATTTCAATTACATAAATCCCACAATTAACCTACACCTGATACTCTGCATTCGTCTCATTTTCTCGAAGTTTAGTTTTTTGAAGGTTTCGCTTCTACCGCCTGTGAACTGCACACGTTTTTTTTGACAATTAATTGCACTACTTTCAGCCCGAGCGCTACTTACCATTATTTAAATTAGAAGCCGCCTTTTGGATCAAACAATGGATTTAATTCGCGAATAAACCAATTGCGCTTTAAAAGACAATGCCCATCTGTGCCCCAGAAATGCCCAGATAAAGTATATTACAAGATTGCTCTAATAATTAAAAACTAGAATTATGTTGTTAATTTTAAATCATATGAAGCACTGGATAAAAAAAATAAGACGTTCTTGTTGACTTTGCAGTACGTATCATCGTTTCAATCATTAATTCATGCTTTATTTATTACAGTCTGGAATCATGTCCTTTGGCCCATGTAAAACTCAACATGATTGATATTAGTCATAAAAGTGATTACTAAATAATCGAATATTAGTATACTGCTTTACAACAAAACCAAATAAAAATATGATTTTATAATAAACGTCATCAGATAAAAAAAAACATGGCCCACTTAAGCATTCATTTTTGTTATCAAAAGCCAGAGACAGACTAGTTTTTTTACCAACGCTATTTATTGGACTATTTGTTTGTTCACCTATTCCTCATTGACAGTCTCTTAAATTATAAAATCTTAGGCTTTATTTAGTTCGGGCTAAATAATTGGCATGATAAATAAAATCTTCGAAGAAGAAATCGTTTTTTTATTGATCAATTGATCTAATTAATCGATTCCAATATCGATTATTATTTTACATTTTAATCATCAACGAGTTGAATAAAGATCTAAATGATGTCTCCAGACACTCAAAAGTAAAAAAGTACTTTGTGGTGTATAAGTATATCTAGGCTTGAAATAAAAAAATATAATTAAAGCATAAACCTAATGAAGTAATGGCTCAAAAGACTTAGCTCCAAGTCAAAAACATTCCAAAAAACTAAAATGACTGTCACTCATTCTTTCACTGTGTAAAAAACCAGTAGGAAGTTAGCATGTTTAATGTCCAATATCTTTTGAACCGGTGCTTTATATGACATTAAATCTAGATATCATATAAATACTGTTAAAAAGTTATCATATGACATAGAGCTGCAATTTGGGCATTGCATGGCATTGCTGACTTTCAGCTCCATACTAATATGGGCATGGTCCTTTAGTAAAAAAGTTTATATTTTAAGCGTGTAAAGAGATATAACCGGCAATATGCATGCACATAAAACATGGAAGAATTACTCAAGGGAAAAGAATTTAAGCTCATAACATGACAATATTTCATACAAACTCACACATTCAAACTCCATCCTTGATTAGCTAAGAGTTATACTTTATAGTTAGTTAGTTAGTTATTACGGCTCGGGATGCGCAGTAAAAATTGGCATTATTTTAGTAAGGTGCAACGCAAATTGTAATTAATCAGCATTATATGGTGACGATATTCGAACTAAACTCGTTCGCAGCGTAATTGGTATAAGCCCCGCCTACAGCAACTCAATTTGTTTTGAGTCATTTTTGGAGCTAAGAATGTTTCCATATTTTATTTGCGTTCACTGGGTCAAGCTTTACGTGTTAATTAACATGAACAATTATTAAAATAAATATTAAAAACTACATTGTGTACAGGTGAAAATTTTAGCCATAATCTTAAACTATGTATACCGAAATTGCTGAAAGTATAGAATTTGGTTGTTATCATTAATGGCCGCTGACTAGGAAAGAAAATCTAGAATTCGTTTATTTTATAGAAGTGGGGGAAAACGAGCTCGCGGCTCACCTGATGGTAAGTGTCATTACTTACGTTTTGAATTAGTAATTTTAATTAACGTTATGAAAATATAAAAATGGATGGGCATATCGCTCGACTGCCATAGTCGAAAAGAAGATATGGACTTAAAAAGTTTCACTTTAAAATACTTGAATATACTTTCATTTAGACTAAGATAATTTAGCAGTGTTAACAAAACATTAAAATAAGCAAAACAAATAATTACCAGTACCTACATTTGTATAATGGTGCTCACAAAGAAATCAAAACATAATATATTATGTACAATATGTATTATAAATGTTAATCAAAATACACACCTCACTTAAAAGCATCCCAATAATGACCTAAATCAACAAAACATCAATAAAAAAGTTCCATTAGTGATTGTAAGAGTTGTTATTCACAATTAACGATGCTATTATAGATCTATTGTTTCAATAACTTTAATTACAAAAACAACAAGATTCTAACATAATATTTTGTCAGGGATTGAAAAGGTTCCAATGTACCGGTTCTTTTACCGGTAATATAATTTTATTTTTCAATCGGTTCAACCGGAATAAAGTTTTAGGTTGGTTTTATTTTATAACATGTTTACAAATTATATTATCGGTAAAAAGAGTTCATGCATTTCTTAAACGGTAACAAAATTTTAAACCGGCTTTCAATTCCGGCATTTCAAATTGCATTTTATAATTGCGCATGTAACGATTATATATTGAAAATCTGAATATAAAAAAATAAAAATGTATTTATTTTAGTAAATACTTCGCAAAAAAACACGCGAATTTCTCGCAGCAGCGAATTGTATATATACAATAAAAACTCTTAAGCTTATGTTTAACACCGTAACCTTTATTTAAATTAACATTGATAATAATTTATGACCCAATAGTGCTTGGATAATTATATTACTTAAACACACAATGACATATAAATCATGCTAAGTAAAATTAAATATTTAGCATAATTAAATTACTAATGTTATAAAATTTTATTCCAGCACGATTACAATTTTAATTTGGAAGTGTTTTTTTTTCAACGAGGCAAACTCAAATAACCCCTACAAACACCAGCATTTTCAGTAATTAATTTGAACATTAAATCAAATAAATATCTTTTTTTTTTTATAGGAACTCTTTGCTATAAGAGTTAAATAGTGAATCGGTGCAATTAAATGCGTATTAATTTTACCTGACACGTGAATGCAAAGCTGCGCGCTCTTCAGAAGGAGTGTCCCTTAAGAACGAAGATGAAAGGTTGAGGATGACCATAAGGCAGCATAATAGTAGTGGTCCTAAAATGGCTCCCTCGGGACCTAAGTAGAATATGCCTCCTGCTATTGCCAGACCAGTTACGTACGGGTGACCGCCACTGAAATAAAAGTATATCAAGAATAAAAATTAAAATATGTAATAAAACAACTCAGTGTAACAGGGACGTACCGATTTCTTAGATACATACATACATAGACACTCAAGGCCCTTACCGAGAAAGGTAGGCAGAGGCTACTACTGTATTAGTGCCAGTAACGGAGATCGACACTTAGGCTCAGATTTGTCGTGCTTAGGAAAGCTCAGCGCGCTATCCAACGAATCAGGAGATAGGCAGGAGCGTTTTCCTAATCATTATCATCATTATCATTACAGCCCTTCACAAGTACACTGCTGAAGATAGGCCTCCCCCAAGGAATGCCACAAATCACGGTCCCGAGGCACCTGCATCCATTGACTTCCTGTCGTCACTTCATCTGGTTAGGGGACGCCCTACACTTTGCCAGCCGGTACGAGGCTGCCACACGAGAACCTTTCTTCGCCGTCGGGTGTCGGTTCTTCGAGTTATATGGCCAGCCCATTGCAACTTCAGCTTACTAATCTTCCTAATAACGACTAAAAATAAAAATCTGCGGTTACCAACCCGCTTGCCGCAGCGTGTCAACTATGGCAAATATCCCCTCTATGAGGCAATCTATGGGGGAGGCCTATGTTCAGCAGTGGACTTTAATAAGCTGTAACGGTAACGGCACTATCCTTGAGTTATTACGGTTCTATGTTTTGGTTATTAATATTATGAACGATAATTTCTATACTTCTCGCTTAATTTATATAAGTTTTCATATGTTATTAGAAACTACCTATTGACTTAAATTTGCAATTTTATAACGTATAATTTTAACTTATTTGTGATTCCCGAAGTTTCGGGTTCTTAATAGCACCCATGATCAGAAACTAAGGACTCATATTAATAATAATAATGTCCTCCAAATCGAATTTCGGTCACGGCGACCAACCTCAATGGAGAGTAGCCATCTGTGCAGGACAGGATTATAGTGATAGTGCCAAGTGTATGCGCAAACACAGGCGCGCTCTCTGTTCCTCTCTCACAGCCCGATGGGACGGTAATTCGACGCGACCGGAGAGAGTTCAGGCGCAGGACCTATGGCTATACCTGTTTTCCGAGGCACGGGGGTGAAAACATCGTCAACTTCCTTACTCCGGGCTAATACTAAGATTTTGAAGTTAAGCTTCTTTATCGACTTAGTGGAGAAATATGGTACGGTATTAAAAAATACGTCACGTCTTCCTGTGACGTAATAAAAGAAGAACGATATGTCGTAAAGAAGAATTACTTCGTAAATGTGTACAGAATTACAGCCACATTTTTGACAGAATAATCCAATAGTTGATTTTGGCTCGACCCAAGTTTCGAACCCAGGACCTCATGATCAGTAACCACGTCTGCGACCACTACACCAACGAGGACTCTTTTCAAAGAGAGAGAATTAAACCAACCATTAGTCTTTACTCCATAGATACTAGTTAGAACATTTATTTAATAAACATGATGTGTGTTTCTACTCTTTGGTTTCTTGCAAATTTATTTTTCCTTTTGTATATTTTTTGCAGTTCAAGGGTCGAGCACTCGTCTTATTTTACAGTAAGGGTTATATACTAAAATTGTTATGCTAAGTTTACACGCTTGCCAAGTCATAGCATAGCATAGCATTGGGATGAATGGGTCAGTGTGCTCCGAACAGACCAAGACACCGGACACCGAACTTGTGATAGCCTTCGAGAAATACGAGTATCCCCCCCCCCCCCCAAGATTATCGAATATAGTGCAACGAACGGATATAGTAAAATCGATAATCAATAATATGATCAAATAATTAAAAATTAAAAATTTTGTACAGCCGACTTCAATATAAGTTATTTTAGAATAACTCAATAACCATTGGTCTGACCTTGATCAAATTCATATGGGACCACACGAGAACTATCAGCTTTCATATAAAAAAAGAATCATCGAAATCGATTCACCCAGTACAAAGTTATGAGGTAACACACATAAAAAAATTACATACAGCCGAATTGAGTACCGTCTCCTTTTTGGAAGTCGGCAGATAAATAATCTTACCCCTTTTTTTATAGCAGGCGGCCTTTGCGGTTGGTTCCTTGAATGAAATGTTTGCGGAATCTTTTTCATTTATAGAATAAGAGTGACAAACGAGCACACAGTCCACCTGATGGTAAGTGGATGCTGTGACCCATAGACATCTGCATCTATCCTCGATTAAGACTCAAAATGCAGATGTTTTGTAACCCCTGAGTACTAAGATGGAATGCCTCGTATCCAGTAAAAAGTCTCCGGTTCTCTACACTGACCATACGAAACGCACTCTGGTGAGAGTGTGGTTCTTCCACGGTCGTGTTGACCCATTCGTGCTGCAATCATAATATAGCTGCAACATCATCAATATTTCTTTATTAGCTTCTAATTCTTTTATTGACTTTTGCATTAATTCGGCAAGACAACTCAAGGTGTCTACCACTTTTTTAAAAATGCAGATGCATGCAGATAAACCCCTTTGTCGTATCTCCTCAGTTTCAAGGTACTCCCCTTGTTGCCTCAGCTTGGAAGCACTTGGAAGAGAAGGCCAAATTGGCCTCTAAAAACCTTGACGTGATCAGCAGAGAGGGACAGTATTTCATGCCGCCACAACGCCTGCAACTTTACAAGGCGCAGGTTCGGCCTCACATGGAATACTGTTCCCATCTCTGGGCTGGGGCTCCCCAGTGCCAGCTCCTACCACTTGACCGCATCCAACGCAGAGCGGTTCGAATCGTCGACGACCGAGTCCTTTCCGATCGGCTCGATTCAATGGCGCTGCTAGGAGATGTTGCATCCCTTTGCATTTTCTTTTGCATTTACCACGGGGAGTGCTCTGAGGAATTGTTCAGATTAATCCCAGCCGCCAAATTCCACGAACGCAGATCGCGGCAAAACTCCCGATACTATCCACACCATCTGTATGATTGGCGGTCTACCACTGTGCGATTTAGAAGATGTTTTATTCCTCGCACAACTTCCTTGTGGAATCGATTACCACCAGCGATTTTTCCGGATCGATACGACTGAGGGACCTTCAAGAAAAGAGCGTACTTCTTTTTAAAAGGCCGGCAACGCATCTGTAATTCCCCTGGGTCACTTGGTGTTGCAGTTGTTCATGGGCGGCGGTAGTCACTTACCATCAGGTAAGCCGGATGCTCGTTTGCCCCTCTTCTATAAAAAAAATCCACTTGTACTTGTGGACGCTTGCTGGGACTTGGCGTGCCTATAAACCCGGCATTAAAGGAATCTTAAACAGCCGAAGCTGATTTACTACGTGATGATCGTAGAGGGAAACCATCGTGAGGAAACCTGCACGCTGACTCTTCTCTACTTCATCTCAGTTCGACCTCAATTTCTATAATAGAAACATATAATCGTAAATCTAAATCTGGTTTTAGGAGTACACAAAGAAATGAATCATCTATATTTTCGCAGTTCTATCATTTAAAGGTTATCAAAGAGGGGCCGCTGTGGTTATTTTTGCATAAAGACGTTAATACATAAAACCACTGTAATAGCCGCGATAATATTAAAATAAGGTTATTGGTGATATTTCCGTATATAATAATATCATGAATATATTATATAACATAGCATTATATATAATTTTCAAACATTCTTGTGTAAAAATCTTCTGTGTTCCGTCGCTATTTGGAGAGAACGAACTTTTATAGCCAGTTTAAAGTTTAAACAAAACATAGTATGACATATTGCTTAACAAAATTATGTATGTAGGTTTATTTGGGAGACTGATTTTTTTAACTAATGTCAAAAAAAGCTATCCTACTTTGAAATGTTGTTGAAATAGCAACTGTGTAATTTCACTGTCTTTTTAACCTACTTCAAAAAGGAGGTACTCAATTCGAAAGTATGTTTTTTTATGTGTTACCTCAGAACTTTTTTCAAGGTGAACCGATTTTGATGATTCTTTTTTTATTTGAAAGCTGGTGCTTCTCATGTGGTCCCATATCGTCAGATCAAGGTATTAGCAGTAGGTTTTTAGTTATACTTAATAATTTATATTAAAGTCGGTTGTAAAAAAAAAAATACTACTTGTATCATTCTTTCTTTTTCATTCCGTAGACCATTGCTGATTATGAACGTCATTAATTTCAGGAAGGATTAGGCATTATTATTGCTCGTTTGACAGGCAATTTGGCAATAGTCAAATTAAATTAATTATTTATTTTACGAAAGAGTACAGAAAAGAAGGAGGAAACATTGCTGGATGGATTAGCCATTATAGCTACGCTTGGCCGGCAATTTGGCAGTCACAGTACCAGATGCCGCACCTTTGATGTAGCTCTACATTGCTGGGCTGGATATTTTACATGCGGCATCATATGAGATGATATAACTGTAAACTATCGGAGGACCACTAATTGACCACGTTTCGTATGAAATCTCTTACGGCACCACTACACGGTCATTTATTTTACAATATTAAACAATAAATATGTAATATTAAACATAAATTTAATGCAAATATTAACACAGGTTTATCGAGTAATAATATTTTTTTTATAAAATTTTCTGCATTACAAATAAGACAACTTACTCTTTGATTTCGGCATAAACAGCGGCATCCAGGAAAGCGATAGGCGCGGCCTGTGCTATGGGCAGGAGCAAAGCTGCCATCGGTCTTCCCTGGAGCCATACATCTAGCGCAGCTGGAATGCCAGCCAAGTATGGCCCAAGGAAAGGAGCTGCACCGAGGATCGCTGCTAGAACTGTAACGTACGTTTTATCGTGATCTTAAGTTACACTTTGCGTTACTGATTTGATCTTTCAAAGTTAATTTGATTCCTCGTAAGAAACTATGTTTATTTTTTCGTGTAAACTTGACTCTACTAAATTCCATTTATTTGCAAATAAGATCACATAGGTATACACAAAAATGACAAAGAGGTTCCAGAGGTACAAAAAGCCAATCAAAATAATTATAAATTTATTTAAAAACAACATTGACATCATATCTTTTTTTGCTTGGTATCGCTTTGTTTTGGAGGACGTAATTGTGCGTAAACATATTTATAGAACTCCAATGCTTTTTGCCTATCATACGCAACTGTATTTCTGCAGTGCGCACCAGTACAATGGTTTACGGATTCTTCTCTTGGTGGAGGTTTTGGTAACTCTGGTTTAATATGACTCTTATTTGTATTTCTTAAGGTCTCGACGAAATCTCTGGATGAATCAAATACAACTTTGATTGTTGTTCTATTGGTCATATTTAGATGACTGTCCTTTAGAAGGTCTTCCTTATCTATGGCTGTCATAGCAGCACTTACATCTCCTTTAAGTGAATTTGCCTGCCTTATTAAATAAAAAGTTGGAGCCGGTTCAGTAACATCTTCATCAATTATTATATCGTTATTCGTTGTATGTCTGTCATTATACAACAAACACATAACTTGAGTATCTAAATTTATTTGACACATAGCACTGTCTAACAACAATTTTACAATGTCTACTGGTAGTATACATGGAGCATAAATACAAGTATTATTGTTTGAGATATTTAAAATTAAACTGTATAGTTCGTTTTTTAAGGACGATGTTAGAAAAGCTATGTTGCGACATTTACAATCCAATTTGTTTTCTTGATACGTCACTAATGAACCAATTGATCTGCAACTATGATAGTCAAAATTTAATGAGTAGGGTTCCACATTTTCAATTCTGTTTCTAATAAACTTAAAGTGTTTCTTATTTGTCCTTTTTCTCAAACATTTAACGTTTATGAAAGCGTTACTTCTTAGCATCTTTATATAATTATCTGTAAAATCTGTTTTAACAGAATTAAACACCAATCCATTAGCCCTTATTTCTTTAAAATTATTGTGATTTATATTTAAAAATTCTGAAGTTACGTTAATACTATTTGCAACAATATCATTAAAAATATTATTTGAAAAGATTGCGCTTCTACTTGAAACAGTAATGCTTTTGGATTCTAGATAGTCAATGGTGCAGTTATTCATCATAAATACACTATTATCATTGCCAAAGATAGCTTCTATCGCTTGCGTTTGAATATTACTGATTGTAACATTGTCAAATTCAATACTTTTCACTCCGGTAACGTTGTAAATAGCTTTTGTATGGATCGATTTAATGTTACTATTTGTGATGCGAAATTTTCTAGGCGCCGCTGCTCCCAAACATTTAGATTCTGTATAAGTGTTTGGCGACTTAAATATTTTTTTCGGAAGTTGTGTTATCTCTTTCACGTTTTCTATAGTAACTTCAGGTGGAACCTGTACCAATGAATTTGTCGCAAATGTTATAAACTCGAGTTTGTCACAATTTTTAACTTTAAAATGTTGAAGTCGAGAAGGTCTCTGTAAATTGGGGCAATCAATAACCACTCTTAAATTTTTGCAGTTCTGGACGGTTAGACTAACTAAGTGCTCCGTATAATAATCTTTTAAGTATATTACGAAATCCTAGAACAAGAGAAAATTTTATTAGACACTGAATTTATTGATTCCTTATATTTACGCAAACACTACACATTGGATGAAACTAGTTTTTTACGGGTTATATCGCTTGAAGACATGCAGTGGTATTCTTGGGTTAAGATTAAATTTTATTAATTATAAGATCCCAAGCAGAAAGGTAGCACCCATATCTTCCATATTATAATTAGGATGTTATTTGATATCAATAGACTCACAAATCATTCTTGATAAGAATAGGTGTTACTGATAATGGCGGTGATGATCCTGTACGTGTTGACTAAGGCAGCCGTCTTCCCGGGGGGTCGATTTATGACGAATTAGGACGTCGAATACCTCAGTCCCCCGTAAACATGGGTAATGCAAAATACTCGAAATGACGGGAATATAAAATAAGTTAAATGAACGCGATAAAACCCTAAAAAAGCTAGTGTCATTCAAGATACTGGATTCGTTTGACGGATAAAGGAAGATAAAATCAATACTCACGTTACTTTTTATGGAAGAACAATTATAAACAATATTACTCGGTATATTATTATTACAATTCCACTCTGTTTGTTGGCAACTTGTAAAATTGATTCTCACAGCAACGGCTGATTGAAATAGTACCACAATTACCAATAAAAATTCTCTGTAAACCATTGTCACAGACACGACGATAAAATGGCATTTTTTCTCACTATGCGTCTATTATAAGTTCTATCGCATCACATACTAAATGAACAATAAAAAAGTCACACCGGTCGCGAGTGAGCATCATCCCGAGATAATACTTCACTAAAATATACGACGCGAAATGAAGCCGAGTTAAATTTATCGTTTCTCTACTCTGATCGTAAGTTCAACGACTCGTTATTTGAGTATGTTAATTTAAAAAAGTACAGTAAATTACATAAGTTCTTTCATTTAGACTATTCTCTCTATCTCTTGCATTGATAACTCTGAAATGTTTGTGCAGATAACGCAGCTTTATTATTTTCTACAAATGAATAAATAAATGAGCTGCGTATATTTCGTATAGCATTTATAATAAAGAGCCTAAAGCCTATTTTAAAACTAATTAATGTTAGTAACCTGTATTTAATTACAAAATTTTCTTAAAGGCATTTAAGTCCTGCTATATTTTTTCAGTACATATATAAAAGTAACCATTAGTAAACACTTAATGTCCATTAAAAAAAAAACTTAAAAATTAAATTTGACAACAAATTCCATTGTTACTGTATTTTTGAACATATTGCCTCATAACAACGAAGAGAACTTTATAGTTTTTACCTTTTTCTTATAAGGATGACAAATGAGCACATATTCCATCAGATGGAAATTAATGCGGTTGTCCATAGACAGTAAGAATATAAATGCATATGCGTTGTGAGCCCTGAAGGCTTGGAATGCCTCGTTATCAGTAAAAAGCGTCTGCGGTACTCGTCGCCTCACTATAAGGAACACAAAAGCATCATACACACACACACCAAACACTTGGCCGTGAAGAAACTGTAAAAGTCAACTGGCTAGCAGGACTAACATTACGGAAAATAGAAAACGTTGAATATATTAAAGATATTGAACGGGCTACTTTTTTTTTTAATTTTTGAATACTTAGAGAGCCAGTATCAATATATGCTGTGAGGCATTATATTTCATAGGTTACAACACATCTGCATGCTTACTTTGTTGGCTGGTTCGTGAAGTTGCCTGCAGGTGTCAATGGACTGCAGTAGCTACTTATCATCAGGTGGACTGTGATATATCGTTTGACACTTCAATTTTTTAAATAACTTTCGTTAAAAAACCTTCATATCATTCTGCCATCCCACCGCGCGCATTTTATACAAATAATACTCACTTTATCCTCTCCAATGGTTGCACGTAAATATAATGTCTCCGAATATCGCGAAAAACTCAAGTGGCTTCCGATCCGTCTTCGCAGGAATACTCCCATTATTTCTCTTTTATACTGTATTCTATTCAATCCCCTACTTACCTTAAAGAGCTGTTTGAGTTTCTTGGTGTCACTCACTGTCGCTCTCTTCGCTCTGGTAAAAACCTCACCATAAAATTTCCATCCCATAACACTTCCTTCTATTCTAAATCCTTTTCTATTGAAGCTGTTAGGCTCTGGAACTACCTACCGCTGCACATTAGAAGTACGCAGTCTATTGAAAAGTTTAAATAAATGTCAAAGCGCACTTCTTTCCTCCTTAAATAGTCATTCCTCTAAAAAATTACTACCTGCTCATTTTTCCTTACGTTAAGGCTTTGACTTCATTTAAATATACGAGGGGCACACTGAAATGATCGTGAATAAGAAAAACCACATGCACGGTATAGCTAAATTGTATTTTATTGTTTTTCGAAGTATTCTCCGTTCAACTTAATGCACTATTCCATTCGTGCAAACCAATCATTAAAACAGTAATTCCAGTCTGAAGTTGATGTTGACAAAATGGCAGATTTGTTCGCTTCCACAGCTGCTTCGGTGTCTTCAAACCGTTGACCGCGTAATAAATCTTTCATTCTAGGGAAAGTAAAGAAATCGTTTGAGCTCAGGTCAGGACTGTACGGAGGATGGCTCATCAGCTCAACGTTTTCCTGCTTCAAAAAATCATTTGTCTTCCGAGCCGTATGAGAGCTCGCATTGTCGTGATGTAAGATGACGCAACGTTTCGGGTTATTTTTTCGAAGTTCGGCTATCATTTCTGGCAAACAAACCGTGATATACCACTCAGCGGTAACCGTTCTGCGTTCCTGTAAAGGAATTGTAGCAACATGCCCCTTTTTCGAGACAAACGTAGCGACCTTTTTCTTTGACACGCTGCGGGAGCGAACCACTTTCGTTGGTTTGACCTCGTTTTCGAAGACCCAAACTGCTGACTGATGTTTTATTTCAGGTTCGTATGAATAAATCCATGATTTGTCACCTGACACGATATTATAAACGGCGTTTGACTTCCCTCCGTTGAAGCGTTGCAGAGTATTCCGGCATCAATCTACACGAGCCGCTTTTTGCTCTTCGGACAAATTGTGGGAAACCCAGCGGGAAACTAGCTTTCTTACACACAGCTCATTATGTAATAATAACAGCCCGAATCTGCTCGTATGTCACATGACGCTCATTTAATATAATAGTTCGCACAGCTGCGATGTTTTCAGGCGTGACCTATGTTCTTGGTCGACCTGTAGAAGAAACAGTGCTGAGCGACACATGACCGCGTCGGAACTCAGCATACCAGCGGTATATTGTCGTTTGACTCGGTGCTTCAACATCATCAATCATCACAAACATCATAAATCGAAACAAGTTCGCTGAGACATTTATCTTGAGATAAACCGCGACGAAAATTGTGATAAATTATGGCACGGAAATGTTTACGCGTGAGCTCCATTTGTGTTAACGACGTGTCAACTTTAAACCAACATAGTTTTTGTTTACAAACATTTTTTAATTGTTTGAATGTCATTAAGATTCTAAGAAGCCAGTATTCAAATTCTAAAAAAGGTTTTATTGTAACTCAATCTGAAATATTCTATTTCGTTTACTTTCTGCTCTCGTATATGTATGTATATATTAACATACCGACATTAAATAATTGATTATATAGAAGCTTCGAAACTTTAACGAAAATTATTTCGGCTTACCTGATGGTAAATAGACAACTTTAGCTCCAAAAAGGTTATGCACCAACCATGTCCACAGACCGTAGAATAACGCCATCTTGAATGACGCCCTAAACACCTACAGAGAAAATAAAATACGAAAATTAACGGATTATTATTATTTGTATATTGCTGCCCATCTCCCGTTTCAGTTTCCCTAGGGTATAAACAGGATGATACGGGGAAGTAGATTATCTTATATGTCGCTACTACACGTTAACGGGTATATTTTTGTTATTGTGCAAGCTTTCTTAAACAATTAATATATATATTAGGATAAGGGTTAAAGCCTCTCTATATCCCACAGCTGGGCACAGGTCTATCATTTCTCTAAGGGATTGAGAGTAAGGAAGTGTCTGTCGTGCAATTTGCCTTTACATGTCTTCGAAATATTGTTTTATTTCTAAATTTCTTAGACATTATCAGCGTGTGGTAAATCAGCACTTAGAAAGAAAAAATTTTAAGTGCTTTTTAGCACTTAAAATTGCACTTAAACAAATTGTAACATTACCGGCGATCTAATTCGGTTTGCTAGTGCACTATAATACAGGGTTATTTTTTAATATATGGCAAATTTGTAGAGAAGGTTCAGAAAAATTAATATTGGCGAATGGTGAAGAAAAATTTATAAAAAAAAATCTCAAACATTCCGTACTTTTTAATTTTTTTTTTAATTTAGAATGCGTGGTACGAGTAAAGCATTATTTTAACTGATCATTCATAAATATCTAACACCTACTATTGTACGCACACACACATCGGTAAGGGTCGTTCAGTAAGATACCTTGTAGCGCGTCCGCGCTCTTCCCTTTCGCTTAGCGTTACACCGCTAAGTACCTACGTCTACTCGCCCAGCCGACAGCTGTCAGTGTTGACCGTGACGTAATTATGTACGCTTCGTTACCAATGAAGAAACGAAAATATTCGAACCGTCGATGTTATGAAACTAACGATATTAAATTTTAAGCAATGAAAGTTTATGTGGTGCGCAAAGATTATATGAAAGTGTGTCTTTACCGCGGGAATAAATTAACGTACGTGTACCTATCAATCGAAAAATTAACAGCTAATCAAACAGTGATCGATAATTTAAATAGTGAATATGAAGATAGGTGGATTACGCACGGAGGCCCTATACTATGGTCTGCAAACTCGCCGGAACTTTCACCATTAGTCTTTTATCTGTGGAGTGAAATAAAGAGTCGTGTTTACGGCTCCGTGGCACAGTGGCTTAGCAATGAGTTTCTGCGCAAAGGGCCGCGGGTTCGAATCCCGCACGGAACAACTGTTTGTATGACCTACAAATAATTGTTCCGAGTCTGGATGTTTGTCCTTGTGAAATTTATGTATGTACACTGCCTCCACGATACAGGAGAAAATCCTAGTGTGGAGGTAATGTCTTTTTTTTTTTAAAAAAAGAGAGGTCCAAAGTTATGAAGACCGCCACAGTTAAATTATTGCTGCGTTCACGGAAGTTACAAGTGCTGAAGCACATGTAATAAGTGTAAAAAATAATTAAGAAAACGTGGTCGTCTATGCATAAAGTGTGTGGCGGCACGGCCCTAGCTGTTCGAAATCGACTCGGTCTTCCTCGCCTCGCCAGTAGATCCGTCCGTCCGACGCCGTGAGGCCGCTCGTTCGCGCTCTGATTCCGCTACATTGAGTTTAAGTTGTGAATAAACGATTATTTAATATGTGGTGTGTTTGTTATTTACATCCCTGCAAGAGAAACGGATTCCATTTTGAGGTACCGATATTAGATATTGGGACTACTTGCGCAATTTGGTTGTAAATAGTTTATTTCAATTTTTTTAAATACGCCATAAATATGACAGGCGTCGGTTACGTCGTTGATAAGCAAAAATATACTTACATAATATATAAACACTCACGCCTGTCACCCAGAAGTGTAGGCAGAGACTACAGACTTCCATTTGGCACGATACACCTAATACACCTTTTTCGCCTCCTTTACATCCATATATCTACGCATACATGCTCGTCGGTAAGGGTACTCCTAATCTGGCCCATTTTCAATATATCGCCAATTTGGTCGATTAACCTTAGTCTAGGGTGTCCCTTCCCGACTCTGCCGAAAAAAATTACTTTTTTAATTTTATTTATTATTACGATCCTAAGACCGTTAAAACTGTGAAGGGAAAATTGGAATCATAATTCGCGTCATGTATTACGCATGTCACTAAGAAAGTAAACAGTAGGCAAAAACTTGAGAAACGAAATCGTGAATTGACTCACACAGATAGGAGCGCGCGTAAGCGTAGTTGTTGCACATAAATCACATTCAATTTAGGATAATTTCAAATAAAAGTAGAAGCCTTATTTACTGGTATGTTCAATAAATTTAATATCGGTATATAGTAATTTATTTATTTAAACTTAAAACTTAAATATAAAAGGCTACTCTTTGAAAAATAACCCTGTATATAAAGAGGAGCGCATATCCCCTCAGTTTCCACGGCTCGTGTTATATACTTAGTCGGGTCATAAGTTCTGTCAAAACCTTATTATTTAAAAAAATTTAATACTGGTTAGATGAACTTTACCAATTTTAAAATATAACGTTTGCGCTTGCCTAAAATAAAAGAGGCATTAATTTTCAAATATGGAGTGGTCGAAGAAAGAAGATAGATTAGTGGTTATCGCGTTGCATCGCTGTGGTTACGCGCCAAAAGAGATTTTCAATATTCTACAAAAAATGAGAATAACCTACGATTTGTTTATCGCACTATCAAACGATTCACTGAAGATTCAAGCTTCGAAGATCGTAAGAGGACTGGCCGACCTCGTACAGTTAGGACACCCGCGATCATCAAAGCAGTGAAGGCGCGGATCACCTTCCCGATAACAACTCAAAATAATAAAGAAAACTGCGGTGATGATGAAGAACAAACGTTTAATTTTAACCTTGGAACCCGACAAAGACAACTGATGCGACAGTTTTTACATGAATAGTTATTATGCTTCGGAAGAAAGTGGAAGGGGTGAGTACATTTTTGACGCTATCAATTCAGGTGGTATGTTTAATGCATTTGCATTTTGGCCTTGTATTGCTTTTAATTTTTACAGGAAATTAACATAGTTTGTTACTAAATATTGAACATTTTGACCGCAGAATCTCCGCATAAAATTAATATTTCCAGTAAATTCATATGTCCTTATGTGTTTCATATTCATGTCCCCGTTCGAAATACGAGTATTTGTCAGTTAAAAATTTTACTCTAGTATTCATACAAATAGTTTACAAATTTCTTATACATATAAGCAATTTGTTAACTGTATTTTTGTTATTAATTTGTCTTAATGTAATGTAATGAACAATGTAACTGAGGACTACCTTGTATAATATTTAGTTTTTACAATTATTCCCGTTGGATCGAATAGTTTTAAGCTGGAAATTACCAGAACTTGTTCTTTGTTGTTGATATCACAATGAGTAATTTACGTCGTTCATTAGCAACGTAGTAACGAATAAAGAAAACACCAGTGCTCAATGACGCCATCTACGTATTTCTGAAATATTTTTCTATTTTCCCCAGGAAAATAACATTTTGTGGCAATACAAAGAAGCTATGTCTATCATCAACCCCTAATTATATCTGTGCAAAAATACATATCCATCCGTTGCTTCGTTGCGGTGTGACGATGAATCGATAAACAAACAAATAAATACACCGTCCGGTAGCCAAGCCTCCATAGAAGCCGAGAAGACGGGCTTGCCCTATCAAACTGCTCAATCAATAATATCAACTAATAAAATAACTCGTAAACTGTTTCAAACTATTTCAAAGTTCCCGCGCGCTCCTCTGTTCTACACAGGTCATGACCTCGTAGCCTTATTACGTAACGTCAACGCTTGGCAGATTGCTTTACTCCGCGATACTGCTGTCATAAATAAGGAGTTGAGTTTAGCGATTAGTCGTCTCTCTCGCACGCGTGGGCTTTTTACCAGGCTTTCGAGAAGCCGATCGCTCCCTTTCTAACCTGCGGTAAAATGTTCTATAATGAAATACACATAACTACGATTGTTTATATAGCAATTAGTATGGAGCCATACGCTGGGCTTTTGGTGTAAAGTTAGTCGAGCGCGGGGGCGCGCGGGCGATACGTTTGCAATTTGCTTCACATTTTAATGTTTACTCTGTGTGTTTACTTGATCGAATGAATATTGCGACTTGAAAATGTATGCTTTTTTAAAGATTTTTAGTGAAAATGGAGTATAATAGTGTTCCTTGTGATGAATTGAAGTGTGTTAAAGTGCTAATCGGCGAGGAAAAGGTAAAATTTTGTTGAGAAAAAACGGCTCATATCCACATAAACAATTATTGGTACAGTTAAAACCTTCACCAACATTTTACGCGGACATAATCAAATCTTTACTTAAGAAAGAGAGATTCGATTTAGAATATAAATATTTTTTTTAAATTTTGTACATAGTTTCTTTGCACTGTGTTCATGCTTTTCTTTTGTTCATGTATTGTATTGTATGTAAATATCTTTTTATTTCGCTCAAGTAAACCCAAACGGCTTTTTTCAAAGCCACTGAGGGTATGCAATTGCTGATATGTCATACAATCTATCTAGCAGTAGTATGCCTTCTGTGTGCTCTGTTAAACATGTCCTCGACAGCACTGAATATAAAACTGAAGAGTGGAGACGGATCAAGATTGGTGTATTTTTATAAAACTGCTAAAAACAACAAAACCATATATTGGGCTTGCACTAGTTAGGAGCCCTAACTTCGCCACTGACACCGTCGCAATTATAATATCATAGATACTATAATTATACCGTGTAGTGGCGGTGTCAGAATATTCACTACCCCATATCATCCCGTGCATGTCGTAAGAAGCGACAGAGGGAAACAAATCAGAAGATGAGCAGCAGCGTCTTCGTAATAACGGCTAAAATAAAAAATAACTGCGGTTGCCAACCAGCTTACCAAGCGTGACAACTATGTCAAATATCCCCCCTATGAGGCAATCTATAGGGGAGGCCTATGTTCAGCAGTGGAATTTAATAGGTTGCAACGGGAAATAACAACGGTACATGCTGCTGATTGTAAAAAAAAATACCTGATTAATGGCAACAGACAGCGCAAGCCCGAGCCTTGGCCCGAAACTGGCTTGAACCCTGGTGAGAACTTCCACTGGTTTGTAGAGGGCGTTACTTGAAGCCAACAAGTAAAATAGGGTCGTGAAGAACACCACCTAGAGAGATATAGAAATAAATTATAAACCTAAATTAGCAAAAAATTTATAACATAAATTTTGTTAAGTGAAATTTCATTCTTGATAAAAATAATATTGAAATATTATTACGAAATACATTGTCTATTGACGAGAAAGCCTTAATCTTTTTGTTTTGTCACTGATCCGTTTGAAAACACAATCTTACTGAGGCGGCATCTATGTATCTCAATCAAACTATTCAATATTCGGTTTTGCGTCGACTTTGTATTTACATTACATTTTAACATTTAGATATTTGACAGACAACCGAGTGACATTAATGGGACTCCGTTCTGTCTTTTCCCTAAGGAAAACACCACATTGATGATGGCACCGCTGCCACAGAACATTAGCGAGGTGACGGCGCTGAGCCATTCGATTAGTAGAGACAAGTGTTCACGTCTACTGAATAAATTCAGTAGACGTGAGCGGTGGACACGTCAATGATGACACTGCCGCTACAGAGCAGCAGCGAGTTGATGGGATTTCGCGAGCCAGCGATTAGAGGCTCGTGCTCGTGTCTACTTACCAGGTTGATGAACATATTGATGATAGCTCCGCCACCGCAGAGAAGCAGCGAGGTGACGGCACCGAACGAGCCGGCAAGAAGGGAGGCGTTGCTAGCGAGCGGCGCCCACGCACTCGACGCGATCGCACCGAGCGTGCCAACGTTCGCGTATACCCATGTCACTATACCGGTGTAATCGAACAGACCTGATGGAGTTTTTATCCTAGTTAACATTGACCTAAAAGGGTAAATATAGACACAGCTGGGCATACTTCTCATTATTGAGAGTCAAATGAACAATGAAATGAGAAATCACCGCGCTGATTCTGGACGTGTTTTCTAGACACGTTTTGGAAATATGTTTTATTTCTTGGCTATGAAGGTTTCGTTATAATGATTTCTTACACAGCAGGGTACGCGGTAAATTGGCGCTTTAAACACTCTCTAAATAACATAATATGAAATTTAAATCCCGCACACAGATAACTTTTTATAGAATATGGTTTATGTGTATATTTTTATGAATATACACATAAACTTCTACATCTGTCCTAGATTAAAAGTTAAAATACAGATACGTTGTCATCCCTGAGGACTGAGATTGAGTGCTTCGTTTCCAGTAAAAAGTATTTTGTGAGAGCGTGGTTCTTCCCGGTCGAGCGAACCCATTCGTGCTATAACCATAATATTGTGCAGCGGCGTGGCTCTACCTCGAATAAAACCTATATGATCCAGACCACCGCCACAGCAATATACAATATATAATTTATTATTAAATTGGAGATTATTAGCTTAGATGGTGATAGATAAGTTAAATCTAGCATTATTTTAGTGTAACTTGCATCTAAATTTTTTAATAGAATATATAGTTATTAAAAAATTATGGTTCTTTAATAACTATATTCTCAATGTATAGTATTATTTAACACATAATATCAATTGACACTAACCAGGTGTGTGAGAAACGTTAGTAACAAAATTGTCCCATGAGTCCTGCACAGCAGAGCCGTCAACTTGCGGCCCGCTGTTCCCAGGGAAGTGCAAAGACACCCAGCTCTGGTACACTCTATCCCAAATTTCCAATATTTGCTCTTCTACGCGCCCAATCTTGTCTGGATCGCCTTCTTTGAGAATACTCCTCACCTAGTATCACAAATATTTCCGCTGAATTTTAAATGAGCGCTTTTTAATATTTTTTAATACTAAAAACGGTTCAAATAAGATATTACTTTGAGCCAATCAAAACAAAATTCTTTTAAGTACCCTTCGGAAATAATCATTCCACAATCTGTCGGAGATTATTATTTTTAAATCGATTCACACTCACTTAAGGCGGGTGGAAAACCGGTACTTGACGCCCTTCAGAAGCTCTTTAATTCCGTCCTCCATGGGGGCACTACTCCGGAGGCGTGGAGCAGAAGTGCGGTGGTCTTGTTCTTCAAAAAAGGGGACAAAGCTCTCTTAAAGAACTGCAGACCGATTTCCCTTCTGAGCCGCGTCTACGTGCTGTTTTCGAGAGTCATTACGAATCCTCTCGCACGCAGACTTGACGATTTTCAGCCTCCCGAACAAGCCGTTTCCGAAAAGGCTTTAGTACCATAGACCACATACACAGTGGCGTAGCTACCCAGGGCCTAGGCGGGGCAGTGCCCCGGGGTCCCCAAGCTAAAGGGGGCCCCTCCGCCTCCAAGAACGAAATTCGAAAAATTATGTACTACCCTGATTGTATAAAGAATATTCGAGTTTAAACTTTTTGTCCTCTAACCGCGAACGGCTCGAATTGAAACCACAAAAATTACTTTCACTTCCAGAACATAAATAGAACATTGTTAAAGATAATTGTCTACTTCGTCTTATTGTCTTTTTTATATAGAAGAGAGGGACGAACGGGCATGCGGCTCACCTGATGGCAAGTGTCGACCACCGCCTATTAACAAATACAACACCAGGGGAATTGCAGGAGCGTTGCCGGCTTTTTAAAAAGGAATAAGGTCGTTTCTTGAAGCTCCCTAAGTCGCATCGGTCCGACAGCAGTGGACCGCCAAACATCCCGATGATATGGATTTTTGAAATGCGTTGATGTAATTTTGTGGCTGGAATTAATTCGAACAATTTCTCTAAACACTCCGCGTGGTAAATGCGATAGAAAATGCAAAGGGATGCAACATCTCTTCGTCTCGTCTTTCGTCTTCGTCGGTCGGCAACGATTCGAGCCACTCTGCGCTAGATGTGGTCAAGTGGAAGGAGCTGGTACTAGGGAGCCCCGGCCCAGGGATGAGAATAGTATTCCATGTTAGGCCGAACCTGCCCCTTGTAAAGTTGCAAGCAGTGTGCCCGCATAAAATACTGTCCCGCTCTGCTGAGCACCACAAGCTTTTCAGAGGCCAATTTAGCCGTCCCTTGCAAGTGACCACCAAAATGCAAGTTATTCGATATGTCAACGCCGATACTGGCTGAGGTAACAAGGGGAGTGTCCCTGAAATTGAGGAGTTACGAGAAAGGGGTTCTTTTTAGTGGTAAACGCACAAACTTGTGTCTTCGGGGCAGTGAACTTAATTAGTCGTTCCAATCCGAGACCTTATCCGGCAAAGACTCGACTTCAGACACAAGTTTGTTCCGGTACTCGGTGATGTTTTCCCGAGAAATATAGTCACAGCCGGTGTATAAAGCATCACCAGTGCACGTTACAGGTTTGCAACATATTATTGATAAGCTAAAGAAACAGCGTAGGTGCACGATAGATTTTCAGTTGATGATACTGAACCTCATAAGCTGGCAGTTTACAATGGTTTTAATTATTTTGGAAGTTGGATAGGTCTGAGCGGTCGATTTTCGGTAATTTTTTTAGGGATCTGGTGCACTAAAGCTGTCTTCTTTGAGTTCGGGATTACGCCTAGGGAAAAAGAGTTTTAGAAAAGGCAGGTTACGACCGGTGCCAACTAGGGAGCACACATCTTCAGCACAATGGGAGGAACGTACCGAGCGCTGTGTAAGCCGTATCGTACCGCATCCTGACCCAATCGGTTGACTTATAGTGCCAAACACGGCGGCGATCTGCAGAACGCAACCGCGATGGGGGTGTGAGTGGCAACATAGTCTGGATCAGACAATAGTCCAATGAGCCAAGAGGGGCGTCGACGGAGACCTGATATCCGTCCGGATGATAAGTCAGGTCCAACAGCGAAGGTACAAAATCCTCCACATCTAGAATCCGCGTAGGTGAAGTAACCATTTGTGTCGGACCATATGCTAAGGCAAAGTCATAACAAATCTTCCCACATGATTGGTTAAACGAGAACGAAGCCATTCAGCGTGGTAGCCGTTAAAATCACCAAGGATCATAATCTCTACAGACGAGACCTGTTGTAGCACGGAGTCTGCAGCGATTTGGACGTGGTCAATGAGTTGGTGTGTGTAGGCATAACCTATAGAGGCACCCGTAGACGCAAGGATGGTCGTCGCTGACCTTCTCTGACGTATACGCATGTTGCAGAAATTCACGGATAGCGTGGCAGTGTCATTTGTCTTATTGCTCTACTTGGCTTAGCTTTCCATTTACTCCCATCGAGTTGGGGATTGATACGTATTTTTACATAAAAGTTACACTATTATAAGCACACACATAAAGTTTCAATATGCGGAAACACGTACTTTTTGAGAAAAAACATTATTTGAAAATTAATTATTTTTGCAATGTTTTTGTTACATTCCTAGCGTAAAACTGGCGCCATTTTGTAATGTCATTGTCGTCGTCAGTACGGATGTCGATTCTTTCCGAAAAAGATAGATTTTTAAATCGATTCTAATAGTAAGCAGTCGTGATATCACAAAAAATGGATTTATAAAATATAGATATATTTTCCTGTTTGCATTTATAAGATACCATAATAAATTATTTATTATGGAAAAATGATCTCTTATCAGTAAAATCAGTTTTAATGGCGATTTTCAAGGATGAAATATCGATTCATTGGATCGTTTTTGTACTGCATACTAAAATTGATTAATAAATTATTGATTATATTTGATTTGTTTTATTTTAACAGTACCTATTAGGGCAGATAATAAATAAAATAGGTTAGGTTCTACTTATGTCAAAGAACCAAATTTATTGACCCCGACTCCACGTGGTACGAGTCTGTCCTACCCCTTTTTTTTTTTTTTTTTTTTTTTTTTTGCGGATGGAAAATCATCTAATGACGCCTTTCGCTGTGGGTGGAGCGGAAGGGAGTGTCAGACTTTTACTGACTAAAAACCATCCGTGTTCCTTCAGTGCCCTTACGTTCCGGAGCCGCGGTATCTCTTTCGAACAGCCCGCAGCCCCGACCGAACAGCCCGCAGCCCCGGTCTGTCCTACCCCTAGAGTGGTTATATAGAACCGGAGGCGCGTAGGGGGAGTAGCCTCCGCCTGCTGTAACAAATCGTAGGCATCGGACGAGGAGGGATGCCTGCGATTTGTTACGCAACGGCGTAGAGGCTGCTCTTCCCGCAGCGCCGGAGACGTTGCAGTCTCAAAATATATACAGAAATCCCTCTGAATTAGTCCCCCTACACCTCTTCTCCCCCCCCCCCCCCTCTCCCCTCAATTCGACGAATGTCAATGGAAATTCGTAATAAAGTAGGCTCAAAAGGGCTAGAACCCAGAGCCGTAAAGCCAGTTAAAAAAAACAACAAAATATTGTTAAAATAAGTGATTTTTATTAATTTATTTCTCAAAAAATACGTGTTTCCGCATATTGAAACTTTGTGTGTGTGCTTATAAAAATGTAACCTTTCTGTAAAAATACGTATCAACACCAAACTCGATGGGAGTAAATGGAAAGTCGTAGCCTCTACTTGCCACGAGCAGTATTAGTCTTTAGCGGAACCCCCCCCCCCCCTCCCCAGGATACGCGAGGCAAGACCACCTGCACTTAACAGGCGAAGTAAACCACTACTTCACGCTGGTTATCTGTAAGGTCGTGGATCTCCTCCGGTCCACCCATTCATTACATTCATTCATTACTGCTCCTCATTTTATCTCTTACCAGGTCGTTACTCCATCTAGTCTGGCCCACCAGTGCGACAGCAAAACTGCCGTGTTGCTCTTCCACAGTTATGTGGTCTGCCTATATTATTAACTGTAATCTACTTCGTCATTGTTTATGCGTTACACAATACTTAGTAGTAAGTAACTTTGCTATATTATGACCTGCACTGGTCGACAAGGAGCTGATGATGAAGTAGTTTTGCACCTTTAAAGTATTTAGTTTAGTTTAAATAGGGTCCCAATTTTATTTTTGCCTCGGGGCCCTTGATTACCTAGCTACGCCACTGCACATACACACCTTTTGGAAAATTGTACAGAAGACAGAGGAGTATAATCTGCCACTTTGCCTTGCATATGTGGACTATGATAAAGCCTTTGATTCCGTCGAAATTTGGGCGGTGCTGCAGTCCCTTCAGCGGTGCCAAGTTGACTGTCGGTATATCGAAGTGCTGTACAAACACATACAGTAGAGCTACAATGGCTATCCGAGTACAGAATCAGAGTACGAAACCTATCCAACTGCAGAGAGGTGTGAGACAGGGTGACGTTATATCCCCGAAACTCTTCACCGCTGCATTGGAAGACGTTTTCAAGCTGCTGGACTGGAAAGGATGCGGTATTAACATCAATGGCGAGTAAATCACTCACCTTCGATTTGTCGACTATATAGTCCTTATGGTAGAATCGCTGGAGGACCTAAGCACTATGCTCAATGACCTCAATAGTGTCTCTCAACGGATAGGTCTTAAGATGAACATGGACAAAACAAAAATCATGTTTAACGTCCATGTCACACCTATGCCGGTAGTTGTTGGGAGCACTAAGCTCGAAGTTGTTGACGAGTATGTTTATCTGGGACAAATAATCCGACTAGGTAAGTCCAACTTCGACCGAGAGGTCAATCGACGGATTCAACTCGGCTGGGCAGCGTTCGGCAAACTACGACACATCTTCTCGTTAGACATACATCAAAACCTTAAAACGAAATCGTACAACCAGTGCGTGTTGCCAGTGATGACTTACGGATCTGAGAGCTCAAGGTCGCTCAGCGAGCTATGGAGAGGGCTATGCTCGGGGTTTTTCTGCGTGATAAATTTAGAAATGAGGATATCCG